TTAACCAATGTCATAAAACAATATATGTACTGACTGTTTAATGAGAAACTATTTGTTCTGTAAACCTTCATCTAAAGTATAATAAAAAAAAAGATAAAGAAAAAAATATATATTGTTAATGGTGAAAATTTTCTACTTACTGAGACCACAAGTCATTCATTACTATCAATTTAATGGGAAAATTATTGGAAGAAAAATGACGTAAAAATCATTAGATAGTGGATAGAATTTTTTGAAAATTATATTTGATAACTTGTATTTATATTTTACTTGGTAAGTAGTTTTATTATAATTTAGAGAACGACTTAGAGGTAAATTTCACTAAAAATTGTACTGGTAAAAATGAAAAGAAGGAGTGGAGGATTATAAAGGAGGGAAAACAAATTTCTGGAAGACAGGAAGTGAATGGAAGCATGTTGGTGAATGGAACAGGAAGAAAGAAGCTACAGTCTAAAATAACTTCAAGAGAGAAATGCAGTGGAGAAGGAAATCGCTTTTCCAGATGTTATCCTGCTATGAGGCTGGCTGGTGAAGAGTGCAGTGAGAAGGGAGATCTCAAGTAATGGAACTACATTAATTGGCACCCACGATCCTTCCACCAGTGAAAACAGCCTTGTGATTAGCTGCAGGTCCAAAACCAGTTTCTCACTTCCTTAGAAATTTAACTTAATAGCCTAGAGAAAATTAATGACCTAGGCTAGGAAAACAAATACCTAGAAACAACAGAGGAGGAAAGAAATCCCAGCTGCTATCTAGAGAAATCAACTCATATCTTCATGCTTGAATATGAAAGGACAACCAAGAATCCTCAGACAGGAAGACTCTCACAGCATGAATGGGAAAGAACCACGTAAACACACATAAGAACAGGCCTTTGAGGAAACAGATAGTTTAGTTAACAGAAGAGAGGTTTTAAAAACTATTATCCTCAGAGATATTTGAGAAGACAGTGCATTGATAAAACAAAAGCAGGGTGCAACTAAAGAGAAACAATCTTGGAACAACAAAGTTCTCTTAGAAAGTATTTTTTTCTTAATAATTATTTTAAAAAATTTAATAGAAGGATTTGAAGATAAAGTTGAGAAGATTTCTCACAATACTGAACAAAAAATAAATGAAAAAAAAAGATACAGAAAATTGGTCCAGGTGCCTACTATCTGAGTAACTCCAGAAAGAGAAAATGGCATGAAAGAAATTTCAAAGAAATAACAGATAACAATTTCTCAGACAGGAAGAGAGCAATATGTCTTCAGCTGGAAAAAGACCTAAAAAAAAAAAAAATTGCCTAAATCAACTCTGACTCACGGCAAACCCAAGTGTTTCAGAGTAGAACTGTGTTCCGTAGAGTTATCAATGACTGATTTTTCAGAAGTAGACTGCCAGGCCTTTCTTCTGAGGTGCCTCTGGGTGGACGCAAATCTCCAATATTTGGGTTAGCAGCAAGTGTATTAACCATTTGCACCACTCAGGGACTCCATGAGTGCTAAGTAGTTTAAGTAAAAAAAGACTCCCCAACCAGAGTGAAATGGTGAAATTTCAGAACATGGTGTAGAATAAAAAGATCATAAGTACTTCTCGAGGGAAAATGGTAGTTTCCTACAAAGACTTGAGAATCAGACTGACAAGCTCTCAGAGTCAGCATTAGATACAGAAGACGCTGGAGCTATGCCTTCAAGTTTGAAGAGAAACTGATTTCAAACCTAGAATTACATGTGAGAATGATCAAAGGTGTGGACAAAATGAGCACATTTTCAAACTTGCAAGGGCTCAAAAGTTGTACCTGCTAAACATTCTTTTAAAGAAAGTTACTTGAGCGATGATCCAGCAAAATGTATGAAGTTGTACCTGCTGAACATTCTTTTAAAGAAAGTTACTTGAGCAATGATCCAGCAAAATGTATAAAGTTGTACCTGCTAAACTTTCTTTTAAAGAAAGTTACTTGAGCGATGATCCAGCAAAATGTATAGAAGAAATGGCTATTGTCACTTGGGAACCAAGTGAAAAACAAAAACCACAGATAACTGCTCAGCTGGAGGTATAGTAAGAAGCAGTCTAAGTTAGTAAGTAAGTGGGTTCCTAAATTCAAGAAGTATTTACTGGATTCCACACAATGGACAGAATGAGTGAGAAGCTGCAAGATCTTAGAGATAAGGTAAAGTCAGCTAAAATAAAAAGAAAAATGGAAATAAAAGCAATTAGAAACTCCAATGAAAATAACAATAAAAACTGTATGAGGAAAACATGATCCAATATAAAGCAAACTAAAATATGGCGTACTTTTAGTATAGCATAAAAAAAGAGAAGTAATTTATTTGACCTGGATATATTCTCCTTCAAGTGACACAGAGGTCATGCTATTAGATTTACAGAGAAGTACATATCATAAAATTTTGGCAAACTATTTGACTCTTCGATAAACAGTATTAAAAGAGCCATAACAATGCAATTGCTTTATTGTTTTTCTACTTTTGAAGTTAATGTTTAAAAAAGACATGGACAACTTTTGTATGTTTACAGAACAGAAAGAAAATATCTCACTAAATACAGAAGTTAACAGTTTTACTTGAGACTATCTGGTAAAATATACAAAGGAAACAGAGTTGGAGGGGCACTAATGTCCTCAACCTACATAGTCAAGGTTCCCTATCAGCATGGAACAAGCAATAGAAATTATAAGTATATTGGTTAAAGTTAATAATAATAATACGTATCTAAAGTATTAAAAATAGATGTGGAAAATAGGGAAGTGAAGCAAATTCTCAAATTTCTGCTTTTAAAAAAGATGATGATTCAATAAATGGATGTATCTGTAGGATATCAACAAATAAATATAGATGACATTATGAAGTTAGAAAATCATGATTGGATGCCAAAACTCATGAATAAAAGCTTGATGAGGAATGGGATATTTACATAAATCCCATGTATTATTCTATCCATTATTTATTATAAAGAGAAAAGTAGTAACCTCACAGTGAAGAAACTTGGCGGACACCGTCTTAATCAAGTGATCAAAGCTATCATCACCAGTAATGGGAGAAATCTATGTCATCTGCCTTTTGACACGATGCAGTGGAAAGAAACATCACTTTGGTGGTATTCTTCCAAAAAGTCATAATCTGAATCTAATCACCAGAAAACATCAGACAAACTGATATGGAAGGTCATTCAACATAATAGCTGACCTGTACTCTTTAATAATGTCTAGTTCATGAAACGTAAGACTTAGGAACTGTTCCAAATTAAAGATTTATACAAGCATGATCCTCTCATCTGGAATATTTTCTAAACAAGAAATTTTTGCTTTCAATTTTAAAGGTGCCGATCCTTCTCTTACCCCACTGGTTGAGAGCTATAATTCCATTATTACCAATATCTATTTAAGACTTTGATACTTGTTACAATCTGCGATATGTTAATGTATGTATCTGTCTATCTGGTTGAGAGAAATGCCTGGCATTCTTTAGTCCATAGTATAAAATTGTCTCTGAGGAGAGGTTTATTTATTTATTTTTTTTGGGGGGGGGGAGAAGCACAGAATATTATGGGGTAACTGCAACTGTGTCAGAAAATAGGGAGACGGAGGCCCATAGTGAGGTCAGAATTCCAAATTTCATTGCCTTTTTAAGTGGAAGTGGGAGATCCTGGGAGCCGTAATTTCAGGTTTCACGGATGTTAAAAAGTCAACCATGACTTTTTAATGATTGCGTTTTACTTGTAACTTGTATCTTTTACTTGTAACTGCGGGTGGTTACTGTTGCTCAAGACGAAAACGGTCAGGTGCAAAAACCAACTGTAGATAGCTACAAGATTTCAAAAAACACCGTTGTGAGCTGGGCGCTGAGGATTCTTTCCTTGGAGTTCTTGCCCTTGTTGTTGTTAGTAGCCGTTCTAGTCTGCTGTCTACCTTATGTATAACAGAATGAAATGTTGCCCAGTCCTGTGCCATCTTCATGATTATTGTATGAGTTCATTCAGGGTTTGTTTCCCTTGTTTTTTGCTGACCCTCTACTTTACCAAACATGATATCATTTTCTAGCAATTAGTCTTAAACAAGATGAAGTCTCGCCATCCTCACTTCTAAGGAACATTCTGACTTATTTCTTCTAAGACTGACTTGTTCGTCTTTTTGGTAGTCCACGGTATATTCAATATTTTTCGCATATAGCCGGAGGCTCGATGCCCCGACACGGACTATTAAATGCCACAATCGTGGACAGGAGACTCAGAGTAGCAACTTCAGCCAAGTAAGGATTCATTTACAGTGGCAGGCCACTAAGAGGTGATTTACTTCTAGCTTCCTCCTCAGCTACAACTCTCCCTCACACAACCTCAAACTTTTCCGGTTTGTCCCACACGCTCCCCGGTTCTACCATCGAACCGACCCTGCGCCAACACTAGTGCGCACGCGCTAACTGCGGACCAATCGGAATGCCAAACCCGAGGGACTCCAAGGGGCTGGGCTAGCCTCGTGATGGGGCGGAGTTTCGAAGCCTAATAATGGACTTGATTGGCCGGCCGCTTGGTACACATTCCATTATGGGCGGATCCTCGCCCTGGAGCCACGTCTCAGAAACCGTTCTCCTAATTTGGTAAGGGTCGGGCGCGGGCGGGGCGTGGAGCTGCGAGCTGCCCCGTGTGCGCTTGCGCCAAGAGCCAGGACTGGGCGTGTTCCTAGTTAGAGTTGCCAGTTTTGCCTTGTGCGAGTGCGTCTCTTGCCACCGGGGTGTGTTCTGCGGAAGCCGGTAGTCAAAAACCCTCCCATCCTGTTAGGTGCTACCCTCCGCGGTAAGTGTGGCATTGCACGTGGGTTTGCTTCTCTGCTGCCGGGCCAGAACGGTGCCGGACCCTTCCCATTCCCCTGCCCCACCTTCCCCATCCCCCTCGCTGCATCCGGGTCTGCCCTGCGATGCCTACTTTCCAGGGCTGGGGAAGACTGGGGAGTGGCAGCCGGAGGGTTTTTCCTTTCTGTCCCCGCACCCTCCTCGCCATTGCCCACGTGCTTGGTTGTTGTCGTTTGGTACAGACCATGTCTAAGTCTCTGAAAAAGTTGGTGGAGGAGAGCCGCGAGAAGAACCAGCCGGAAGTGGACATGAGTGACCGGGGCATCTCCAGCATGCTGGATGTCAACGGCTTGTGTAAGTGCTTGGGCAGGACCTTCCCTTTGGATGAAGCTGGAGTGGGTTATAAACTTTCCAAGTAACTGCTTGTCGTCCTATGAGAGGTTGTAATGGTTTAGATCCCACCCCTTGCTTGTAAATATCACTTGTTGGGAGCTCAGCTCAGAAAGTTTGAGGAATTTGTTCTGTTCCAACTGGAAATCGAGCCTGAGAATCCAGGGTGAGAGTCACACAGACAGTTAACTGCTGTGCCTGATCGGTTGTCTATACTGATTTTTGGCATTTTTGTGGATTTTCCATCCAGTTCGCTTAGTAGCCTCTTTATTTTTTAATTGAATAATTTTTTAAACCATTTTTCCTTTTTCCTAATATAATCTTTGGTCCATGAACAAATGCCTCACAAAAGTTACATGATGAATAAGCATTCTTGTGCCTGGAGTATTTTAAAATTTCTTGACTCATTATCTTTTTCTTAATCTTTGTTCCCCTAACATAGCTCACGCTTTTGCTACGTCCTTGTGTTATTGTGATGTCTTCCTAACTTGCCCTGTTGACCCTGCACTTCAGTCACTATTGCTTCCAGCATTATTTTCCTATTTTATGTTACTTCCTCCCTTTAAACCAGTGATTGCAAATTCAGATGGCTCCAGGGACCAGGCAAGGGTGGTCATGAACTCCATAATATGTATCCCATCTGAAGGGGGCAGCTGTTGCACCTGCTACTTAGGTCCAAACAGTTGTCACCGTGTGAGGACATTGGCAAGTGTTGCCAGATCTTGTTTGTTTTTCTTAAGAAGCCAAGAATGCAGATTTTTATATGAAATTTCCTAATTTTTAATGTTGGCAACTAATTCCAGTACTTGAAAAGTACTTTATAGGTGAAATAAAACATGTTGAGGCTAAGTGTGACCTCAGTTTAGACCTTCTCCTTTAAACACTTCTCCTGGTTGTCCACCACGGACAGTAACGTTCCAGGTTCCTTGGCATGACATACAAGGCTTATCTGGATCTGACCATAACCCAGCTTAAATCCTTATCCTTCCCATGCATTTGACCTTCCATGTTACTGAACATATTACTCTTCCTGAACCAGAGCACATTCTTTGAAATCTTGGTGCCTTTACAAGTATTGTTATCCTCCTCTCTACTCTTCTTCACCAAAAGTCTTTTTACTTGTCTGTCAAGAGTCAGCTAGACATCACAACCTATGGGGAACCTTCTCTGTCTATACCATGCCAAGATAGTCAGTCCTTCCTCTGTGAAGTTGGACATGCCTTGCTCATTTATGTATCTATATATAAATTTACATATATATATATATATATATATTCAGCGATATTCACGTTTGTGTTGTTTATAGTTGTGCCTGGAACACGGTAGGTGCTCAGGAATGTTTGATGAATGAAGGAAAGATTGATGGATTAGGCCGGCAATTTTATGAGATCCAGACCAGGATGTGACAACAGAGAAGAAGGGGGAATGTCCAGCAGACCTTTTAGATGATGGCTTGCTCACTGCACGTGCAGACAGACAGCAGAGTCAATTTTCTGACTCCATGGTTTGTGTCTAGGACAGAGATTGGGGTTGGAGCTATTGGTTGTTGTTGTTGGGTGCCGTCAAGTTGGATCCAACTCAGAGCAACCCCATGTGATGGAGCAGAACTGCCCCAAGGGGTTTTATAGGCTGTAATCTTCATGGGAGCAGATCACCAATCACTTGGTGCTGTTGATACTTATTGACAAAAGGAAAGGAGATGAAAAGTTGTAGACAACTTGCATTTGGTAACTGTGATGAAGATACCTGCCATTAAACTTAGGTTTTATAGTAGGTAACATCTCAGGCTCTTGATATATGTTGGCCTCTCAGTAGTGATAGATTCTTGGTGTCAGCAATAGAACAAATGTGTCTGGTAGTGAACTGGCTGTAGAGGATCTGGAGGTGCCTCCACACTGCCCCTGCCTGGCTCTACCGCTATCTTGATTATCACTGGGGGCATGTTGCTGTAGAAGAAGAAGAGGATGAGCTGAAAGGAGGCCCAGCACAGCTGTACACCTGGTCCCAAGGTGTTCTGCCCCTTAGCACCCTTTTTCTTGTGGGATTGAAGGGAGAAGTTGCTTTCAGCAGAGGAGCTTTATACCCCTCAGCTGTTGGAAAGGAGAATTTATGTAATATTTGTAAGCAGGGAAAGTGGTGTAGTGGTTTCAGTTCAGCTTCATTATCTCTTTGAAGCCTTGGGTTTTATTGAAGACAGAAAGATAGCCACTTGTTTCCTGAAAAAAAAAGAAAAGTTTCTGGTGTAACAGTGGGTGATGAAAAGCAAAATCATCCTTAAGTTTTTCCACAGAACTAGCTAAGGAAGAGTCACAAGTGCTTCGTGGAAGGTTTGTTGTTGTTAGGTGCCAGCGAGCCTGTTTCAACTTATAGTGACCCCATGTAATAGAGTAGAACTGCCCCATACAGTTTTCTAGGCTGTAATCCTTATGGAATTCAACTCAACGGCAATGGGTTTGGTTTGGTTTTTTAATCTTTATGCGAGCAGATCACTAGGTCTTTCTCCCATGGAGCCACTGGGTGGGTTTAAACCTCCAACCTTTTGGTTAGCAGCTGGGTGCTTAACTGTTGCTCTACCAGGGTGATTTCTTGAGAGGTTCGGTGGAAGTGAATTTGTAGATTCCACTTCCTCCTGCCTCCATAGTATAGTCACAAGGAGTGGTACCTCTCTCCTAACTTCCTGACCTTGGGTCACCTGAGAACATGGGGGTTCCAAGATGCCCTTCAGAAACCCATTCCTCCACTGAGGCTTATTTAGCAATAGTGCATTTAATGTTTAGTCTATAAATGTGAAAAAAAAAAAAAAAAGTTACTGCTACTTAGCATGAATCTGCCTCTGTAACACCTGGCTGTTGGGCCTGATATATGTTGGCAAAGACATGAAGTGTAACCCCCCAAAAAACCCATTGCCATTGAGTTGATCTCAACTCATAGTGCACCTGTAGGACAGAGGAGAACTGCTTGACAGGGTTTCCAAGACTGTAAATCTTTACAGAAGCAGACTGCCACGTCTTTGTCCTGTGGAGCGGCTGGTGGGTTCAAACCACCAACCTTTTGGTTAGCCGCAGAGTACTTAACCACTGTTCTACCAGGGCTCCTTCATGAAGTATAAATGTATTAAAATATTTGACATGGTTCCATTAACTGTAGTATAAGAAAACCTGTATTTCTTCAGTTATAAAATTTTAACTGTAACCATGAAGTTTGATATGTTGTTATCAAGATTAAACACGGGGATAATTAAATTGTTTGTACAGAGAGTGGTTATTTCTTGCACCTTAAGCTTTCCCTTCATCATTCTTCTTTTGTTTATGTTCTCTAAAAATAAGCAAGAATTACATTTTGAAGATAAGAATGAAGGCTTTGGACTTATTCTAAGCATATGGAATATCCGTCTTTCTGCTTGACAGAGTTTTGTGTTATAAATGTACCACTTTACTTCCTCTGAGACCATAAATTTTCTTCTAAAAATGTTTTTAGAAGTTTAGGTACCAAAGCTTTCTGATGGGGAAAACTTAGGCTCGAGGCAGACATTAGACAGGTTCTACATTTGTTTGCTTTTCATTTTTAGTTACTACAGTTTTTAACCAGTCCAGCCAGACTCTAGATATAGTCAGATCCTACCCTGTGAGGCAAAAGGATACAGTATTGGAGTTGGATAAACTAGGTTCAAATCCGCTGTCTGCTGTTTACAACTATGTAAGCTTGCAGAAACTACTTAACCTCTTGGAGCCTCGAATTCTTCATCAGCAAATGGGAACATTAGTACCCACTCATAGGACTAGTTTAGTGTTAAATGCAGTAATGCACATGAAGTGCCTAGTGCTAGTCTGGTATCGAGTGAGTGTACATTAAATGTTAACTGTTAATATCCAGGTGGAGGCTAGTAAGTGTCAGATGTAACTAGTTCCAGCACAGTTCTGTGGGCTGAACCAAGAGTTCAGTTTAGCTAATTAGACTAGGTCAGGCATTTGTGTCATATGTTGATAGGTCCTGTGTGAACTATTAGAACTGTAGGGTTTGGCACTTTTGTCAAGGATACTTATAGATTTTGATTGCTATTTCTTTGAAATCCGTCCTAATTTTTTTTCTTTTCTTTTTTTCTAAATGGCATTGTAATCTGCACACACACTATCCTTAGCGCTTCCAAGAATAGTGGTACCAATTGTGTTCTTTCTTTTTAAAGAAGTCACTGCAGAAACTCTCCTGCAAACAGCAGCTGTCTTCATCTGGATGATAAAGCTGCTTTTGAAGGGCCTGTAATCAGCCTCCACTGGGGCAGAGGATCCTGTGATAGCTAGGCCTAGTTGCTTTCATTTCTTTTGTTTAAGTCTTTTCTGACTTTTTAATCTCTTCAAGTTTATTGACCTCAGGGTGGGCAAGCCTTTATCAAGTTTTTTTCAGGTTAGACTAAAATGTCTTTCAGAGAAATCTTTAGAAAGAAGAGTAACTTGCTACCAAGGGAGTGGTCCTTCCAAAGGACCATGCACAATAATCAACAACATTGTCACTGAGTTATCTGGAAGGACCCTTTCAGGAGCCCTATTAAACCGGCAAGTGGTCACCCTGGGAGGAAAATATTTTATCAGTATAGGCTGTCTTTGGGGAAAAGGGAAAAGAAGACCATATGATTTTCGTGATAATCTTTATTAAAAACTTTTTTTTTCATAACCCTGCTAAATTGTGTGAATATCTCCTCCTTTTGTGCTTTCAAACAGGCGGTGCCTTGGTCTGGGAAATTCTTTTTCTTCTTCTGTCTCCAGCTAACTTCCACTTGTCAATTAGTGCTTGTTGAAAGAATTAATGACTTACTGATCCATATGACTACATTCTTGTGTCACCTCTTCTGGGAAGCTCTTCCTATATACTGTTTTAACCTACCTTCCCATCCACACTGGCTGAAGTGGCTTTTTTCTGCTCACTCTGCCTTCCTCTATTATCCCTGGCCCTGGCAGAATGCTCAGGAA